TACGCTCCTCTGCACAGTGGGTGGGTGCAATAGCCAGCCTGCTATTGGCTTTTGCAAATTGAAATAGACAGGGGGCGCCGTGGGGGGTGAATGGTCAAGGCTGCGCACTAGATAGCAGTGCGCCCTAGGCAGAAGTGCGCCCTAGGCGGCTGACTAGTGGCAGCACTGGCCCTGCCTTTAGTACTTTGTATAATACTAATAATAATAATAACAATAATAATTGGAACAGGAAATGAAGGGATCTCTAGTCTATAAGAATGTCTACCTATTTTCTATTACATAATAATAAAAAATAAAATAATAAAAATAATATTAATGATGATGATAATAATAATAATATATTTTAAAAAGTGTGGACATGTCTTTTAGATCAATTGTATGAATAAAAAAGGATTTGTATATCTTTCAATAGCTTGTCTCGGTGTAATCTAGTGTTATCACAATTTAAATTACTTGAAATGAGTCCCAGAATACAATTTTTATCCATTCTTCAAACATCTCAGTTACACGGGGGATTGTTGGAACTTGTAGTTTATACAATGAAGATAAGGATATTTCAGCTTTTTTTTTTCAACTCCCAGGAAGTGACAAGGGCGCAGCATTTCTGGCAGGATCGACACGTTTCTGTACTTGCTGAAAAGTGAAAACGAATGCAGCCACCACATCTAAGGAATGGTAAGTTGCAATATGTTACATTTTAGTTTTGGCTTTATACTGTATATACTTTAACTGATCCTATTAGAGGAAGTCAACCTTTCCATAGGGTCAGAGCATGGGTTGCTCCTTTAATTCTCCTGCTGATCTGCACATAGATATTGATAATAAGTGATCAATGTATTGCCAAAAATGGCTCATTGATGGCTCTAGTGATTAACAGCACATTAACTCGATAATTACAAAGTGGATTACTGCTTCAAATGTCATCAGGAGAATTAGATCACTAAAGTGTATCGTCTAGTAAGATGTATAAGAGATCAACGTCATCCTGTCACATGTTCTGAGGATAAATACCTCATCCATCCATGTGATAAGCCCAAGTGGGGATGGCATTAGGGTACATGGAACCCAATGCAAGAATTTAGTATGGGGGCTCCTATTACCACCAATACACAATTCTTAAAGGTGGTCATACATTAAAATCGGATTGGACAATCTTCTTCAGATCTACCATCAACTATGTAGTGTCTGGAATGATACCAATTGAATGGATTGCTTAGGTGTACTCCGATATTACAGGGTTTTGGTAAATCTAAAGAAGATTGTATGGAGATTGTACAATCTGATTGTGAAGGGCACTCCAGCTGTGCTGAAATTACAAATCCCATCATGCCTCTGCCTTTGGAAGTCATGCCCTGTGTCTCTTAGAGTCTTGCAATGCTTCATGGGATTTGTAGTTCCACCATAGCTGGAGTGCCAAGGTTGCCTACCCCTGATTTAGATATCAGTAGATCTTTAGATCACATTGGACTATAATGTAGATCAGGGGTAGGCAAACTTGGTGCGCTAGCTGTGATGAAACCACAAATCTCATCATGCATCTGTCTCAGGGAGTCATGCCTGTGTCTGTCAAGAATCTTGCAATGCTTCATGGGATTTGTAGTTCCATCATAGCTGGAGTGCTGAGGTTGCCTACCCCTGGTTTAGATATCAGTAGATCTTTAGATCACGTTGGACTATAATGTAGATCAGGGGTGGGCAAGCTTGGCATGCTAGCTGTGATGAAACCACAAATCTCATCATGCTTCTGCCTCTGGGAGTTATGCTTGTGGCTCTTAGAGTCTTGCAATGACTCATGGGATTTGTAGTTCCACCATAGCTGGAGTGCCGAGGTTGCCTACCCCTGGTTTAGATATCAGTAGATCTTTAGATCACGTTGGACTATGTAGATCAGGGGTAGGCAAGCTTGGTGCGCTAGCTGTGATGAAACCACAAATCTCATCATGCTTCTGCCTCTGGGAGTTATGCTTGTGGCTCTTAGAGTCTTGCAATGACTCATGGGATTTGTAGTTCCACCATAGCTGGAGTGCCGAGGTTGCCTACCCCTGGTTTAGATATCAGTAGATCTTTAGATCACGTTGGACTATGTAGATCAGGGGTAGGCAAGCTTGGTGTGCTAGCTGTGATGAAACCACAAATCTCATCATGCTTCTGCCTCTGGGAGTCATGCCTGTGGCTGTCAAGAGTCTTGCAATGCCTCATGGGATTTGTAGTCCCATCATAGCTGGAGTGTCGAGGTTGCCTACCTCTGATTTAGATTTAGATCTATTTTATCCGATCTTTAGATGATATCAGATTATATTTTGGATTTCCTGATCCCTCCGTAGCCCGTCACCTTCATCTGATGTATGAGTACACTGACAGCTGATGAGTCAGCTCTGATATGAAGAAACCTGCAGCTGATACAATGTCTGGGAAATGTTTCATCAGCTTACATTCTATCACTAGACTTTGCTCCATTCTATGTTCATGTCGGTATTCCCAGCCTGTCTGTATAGGTTTGAACTGCGTTCTGTGACAGCTGATCTCAGCTCTGATTGGTTGTATAATAATAAAGAAATGGACCCCGCCAGCAGAACGCCGTCCTCCATAATAAACATACTCTGATACCCACCGGAATACATTATAATGAAGGGTGAGGTTGCTTTCCAGCCAATGTGAACGATTCGCATAAAAGTGCAACATATCCGGCGATTTTGCATGCATTCACGAAACATGCGCCGGGCTTCCGGTGCCATTCATTGATAATCGCACCCCAAACAAGACGCATGCTTTTCATGCTCAAAGGCATGCGAAAAACACAGTTAGAAAACAGTCAAAGGTCACAAAGGTGCGTGAGCTTCTTTGCTGCGGGTGCCGCACATAAGACCCATTGACAGGCATGTGAATGAGGGCTGGGCATCAGGAACTGTAATAGTGTTCATGTTCAACTCTAGCATATACTGTATGTACAGCAGTGGTGTATTTTGGTTTTGTGCTGCCCTAGGCAAGACTAAACTCGGACACCCCCCTCAATCTAAATTTGCCCCACCCCATCCTGTTTAGGACATTTTGTGCAACCTGTCACTGGATACAGTGCACACGGGATCTCAGGTGGGCTGTACGGGGTCTCAGGAGAGCTGTGCAGGGTTTATGGTAGCCTGTGCAGGGTCTCAGGAGGACTGTGCATTGTCCCTTTCCCTGCATACATGTGCTGCTCCTCTTACCTGCAGCTCAAAGTGCCATCAGTACCAACAGAATAAATTGTAGTCCCCTGCTTCTGGGACATCCCACCACAGATCACACGCTATGGCCAACCCCGAGCCACCCGCTGCTTCTCCTCCACCTCCTGTACAAAGCCAGCCGGACCACAACTCCCTGGGCCCTCCACCGGGAAACTCTCTAATTAAGCAGCCGCTCTTAGGAACTTGCGGCCGCCTAGTTTGCTGCATTAGGCAGTCGCCGCTGCCTGATTCTGTGTCCCAGTATGCCCATAGGCAAGTCCGGCCTTTCTGCTGCCCCCCTGGAGAGTGCCGCCCTAGGCAAATGGCTAGTTTGCCTTGCGGTAGATACACCCCTGATGTACAGGTGTAATCAAAATGATCCAAACCCCCCCGCCCCCCATTGCAAATCAGGTTTATTGGCAACATTTACAGACTCAGCGGTTTGTAATGAACAAATCACACACATGCATTCTCAGCATTATTCAACCCCTTCATGGCACGCATCTTCAGTACATTATACATATGCAGGACTTCTATAGGAGTACACTGAATTCCATAGGGGAACACTGAGATCTATACAAGCCCACTGAATTCTATAGGAGCACACTGAATTCTATAGGGGTACACTGAGATATATACAAGCCCACTGAATTCTATAGGAGCACACTGAATTCTATAGGGGTACACTGAGATATATACAAGCCCACTGAATTCTATAGGAGCACACTGAATTCTATAGAAGTGCATTGATTTCTATAGAAATATACATAATTCTATAGCAGGACCCTGAAATATATATAGGAACATATTTCATTCTAAAGGAGTCCACTAATAGAATATAGGGTGCACCAATATTCTGTAGGAACACATCTATTGGATTCTGTAGGAGTACACTAAAATTCGATAGGGGTACGCTAGATTCTATAGAAGTACGCTAATATTCTATTGTGGTACCCTAATATTATATAGGAGTACACTTGATTCTGTAGGAGTACACTAACATTCTATAGGAGTATGCAAATATTTTACAGGGGTACATTAGACTCTATAGGAGTACACTAATATTCTATAAGGATTCTCTGTGAGTACCCTCATTTTCTATATGGCTACATTGGATTCTATAGGAGTACACTGGTATTTTATAGGGGTATGCTGAATTCTATGGAACATTACAAATCTATAGAGGTACCCTAGATTCTATAGAACACTAATATTCTATAGGGGTGCACTGGACTCTATAAGAGTACACTAATATTCTACAGGAGTATACTAATATTTATAGGGGTACACTGGATTCTATAGGGGCACACTGGATTCTATAGGGGGTACAATAATTATCTACAGGGTTATGCTGGATTCTACAGGAGTACACTAATATTCTATTGAGGTGGTACACTAATATTTTATAGGGGCACACTGGATACTACAGGAGTACACTAATATTCTATTGGCGTACACTAATATTCTACAGGGGTACACTGGATTCTATAGGGGTACACTAATACTCTATAGGGCTACACCAATATTCTATATTGGATTCTATAGGGGTACACTCCTATTCTAGAAGAGTACACCGGATTCTACAGGGGTACACTGGATTTTATAGGTGCGCACTGGATTCTATAGGGTCACACAATGTGGTTCTGACCACGCCCTTTACACCCTCTGCATCAGTGGGAGCCCACCAGCTATGATGACGTAACCCGGGATTACAATACCGGTATTCACCTCTTCGGCGCTGAGCCCGCCCCCTCCCCAGCAATTTACACTGCAGAGCATGACGTCACGGGCAGAGGCGGAGTCGTGTGACGTAGCCGTCAGCTGTTGAAGCCGTCCTGATGATTGTTGAGCAGTGAGATGAGCCGGCAGAGGCTGACCCGTATACAGCTCTGTGCACCTACCTCAAGCTGGACTTCTGTATAGCGACTGGGACAGGCTCTGTCTGTACACACTGCTGCACGGTAAGGTCAATGCGGAGCTCGCCTTCCTATCTCTTCCTGTCACCTATATTCTGCATTCCGCCTCCCTCTGTCAGTCTATCGGAGGAGGTCAGCGATGGCTGGTCTACATACAGCTGGTCAGTGCTGTGTCCAGCAGCTCAATGGTTATGTAGCATAAGTATTCACCCCCTGGGCTGCTGTGACCGCCTGACACCGGGGAGGGTCAATACCACCACCACCCTGGAGGTCACAGCCTTCACTAATCCAGAGGACATTATTCCTGGCTTCCCTTCACTAGACATGACACCTTCCAACACTTTGCACCATGTTGAAAGAGGTCGCTGGGTTTCGTCACTCCCCCCCCCATCCCCTTTATGATGTCACTTGCTGGGGGCACGGCGTCATAGGTGACGATAGAGGGCCAGCACGGGGGAGGGGGCGGAAAGAAGAGAACACATTGCATTGTAGACCTTGACTTTGTATGCAAAGGATGATCCAAGTGCCCTGTATTGGGTTCCAGGTACGCACAGATGGGATATACAAGAAGGAAGGGACAATTGCTGTGTATAAGGGTACATGGGGGGTCGCAATGACCTCAGATAAATTGTGTCCCCATGTATGTTCTGTACACACGGGGACATGTAGTAATCCTATCCCCTTGTATATATTACTAGAGATGTACATGGGGACACAGCTTGTCATCTTTGTGCTTTATTCCATGTCATTTCACATCTGTACTAATCACTCAGAAGTTAATTAGTGTTGTCGTATATTGTCTTCATACCCGGGGACTCCAGATGGTACAGTGGAGGTTCCATCACTTTGCCTGATCTTCATCAGCCATTTTATTGCTCCCTAGGCATATACATGGGGACACGATGACCTCAAAATAACAAACTGTGTCCCCATGTATGTCCCTCGTACATGGGGACACAGTGACACCAAATAACAAACTGTCCCCACCTATGTCTGTTGTATATGGGGACACGATGGCCTCCTCATAACAAATAGTGTCCCCGTGTATGTCCCTTGTACATAGGGACACACAGTAATAGTGTCTTGTTGACTGAAGAAGTGATATACATGGGGGCACGATGACCTAAAAATAACAAATAGTGTCCCTGTGTATGTCCCTTGTACATGGGGACACACAGTAATAGTGTCCTGTATATTCTTTCTTGTTGACTGAAGAAGGGATATACATGGGGGCACGATGACATCAAAATAACAAATGGTGTCCCCATGTATGTATGTTGTATATGGGGACATGATGAACTCCTCATAACAGATGGTGCCCCCATGTATGTCCCTTGTACATGGGGACACCAAAGGGATAAACATGGGGACACGATGACACCAAATAACAAAATGTGTCCCCACCTATGTCTGTTGTATATGGGGACACGATGACCTCAAAATAACAAACTGTGTCCCTGTGTATGTCCCTTGTACATGGGGACACACAGTAATAATGTCCTGTATATTCTGTCTTGTTGACTGAAGAAGGGATATACACGAAGGCCCAATGACCTCATAATAACAAACTGTGTCCCCACGTATGTCTGTTGTATATGGGGACACAAGATAAGTGTGTCCTCATGTTTATCCTTTCCTTATTAGAAAGGACATACATGGGGACACAGCCTGTCATCCTTCTGTTGCAGTAAACCTGGTTTCACACCTGTACTAATCCCTAAGAGTTCATCAGTGTTCCCTTGTTGTTTCATGCTCACTTCATGTTAGATTGCCCACCCTTCATGACCCGGTATGTTGTCTTCTTGGCCCGTAGGTATATACAAGAGACATACATGGGAACAAAATCTAAATTGCTAAAGATATCAAACTATGTCCCCATGTACATCCTTTGGGGACACGTGGTGGCCGTGTCCTCCTGCCTACGCGTGGTGGCCGTGTCCTCCTGCCTACGCGTGGTGGCCGTGTCCTCCTGCATATCCTTTATTAATGAACACACACAAAAACACACACAAACACACACACACACACACACACACACACACACACACACACAGACCCAGTTTGTCACCGTCCTGCATTATTCCATTAGATTTCACACCTGTACCAATCACTAAGAGTTCCTTAGGCTGGGTTCACACCTAGGCGGATTGAATATGCACGTTTTTCGCGCGTTTTTTTTACCGTGATTCGCGGTAAAAAGAAACGCGCAAAAAACGCACGTTTCCGAGGGATACTTGGCTGTATCCCAATGGAACCGCCCGACCAAAACGCCCCAAAGAAGTACATGTACTTCTTTGGGCGTAGGGCGGTTTCCCGCACGTTCGTACTGGCAGAAAAACGCCCAGATGGGAACCATGCACATTGAAAATAATGGCATTTCCCTGTTTGAGCGTTTTTCCGCAAGTACGAAAGCCGGAAAAACGCCTAGGTGTGAACCCAGCCTTAGTGTTGCCTCGCATTGTATTTACACTCATTGACTCCGGATGGCCCGGTTGAGTCTTTTTGAGTTTGCTTTTTTGTTCATTATATGTTGAACAGCCCGTCCTCGATGACCCGTTTTGTGTTGTCTCCTTGCTTCCTCCTGTGCTGCCTCCCTTGTTTGTTTTCCTTCTCTATATCCTGGTCCTGCTGTCTCTTCCTGTCCTCTCTTCCCTGTGTAGTTCTTCATCTTTGTTCCTCCATCTGTACTCTCCTCAGCTCCCGGTGACCGAGGGGTTAAGATCCCTTTTCCCCGGGCCGTATGTTCCTATTGCGCTCTTTCACTTAGATGATTGCGGACCGTCTTTTTTTAAATTATTAGGTTGTGCCACTCATCAAATATTCAGGTCAGGTTTAATGACCCGCGCTCATCTATATGTTCAGAGTCTCGTCATGAAAGATTAATCCCTTCTTGGAGCTGCGCCTTTAAGCTCTAAGGAATGTTAAAGAAGGCCAAAAAAAAAAAAAAATTCTGGGAATGGACGACGGAGATGGAACGGGAGGAGACCCGGGAAGACGGCGTCGCCATGGTGAAGGGGAACCGTAGAAGGAAGCCATACGAAGATCTGCTCGGGGCATGTTTGCCATCTGCTCCACCGCCGCCAGATCCACCTAGACCGCGATTCCAGATCTGCCGCGTTGGCCTCCTTGTGTGTCGGGGTTTCACCCGTCTTATTTTTTCACATGGATGCACCCGGTGACGTGGGGGCCCCCGATTTGCATATGACATTGAGCGTCACGCTATCTCAGACTGTCCTCTGTTGAACTGCCAGGACGTACTGAGAAGATTTCCAACAACCCCCCCCCTCGCCGCTCCGCTATATAAAGGTGTTTACCGTCCATCCTCTTCACGCATTGCAACATGGATATTCTATACCATGGATGTTGGCGGTCAGATGTCCAACCCCGGGGGAAGGTTACGACGACGACACATGTATCCCTGTAGCTGTTCCCTATGATGGGACCCAAGTTCTGCAAAGGCTTGTGAGGGCTACAGGTTGTCCCTTGTTGATACATTGGGGGGAGTTTATCAAAACTGGAGCAGATTTGCACTGCAACCAATCACCTTCTATCTTTCATTTTCAAATCCCAACTGAGCAAACTTAGGAGAGATGCTGATTGGTTGCCATGGGCAACTGCTCCAGTTTCTGTCTGCTCCCAGTTTTGATAAACTCCCTCCATTTGTATCTCTGTTGATCATATACATATTGACCAATGCGACCAGAATCCAACTTTTCACATGTTTGGGGTGGCATGCAATTCAATGTACGCATGTCTATCAGTCCTTTTCCAAGGGATTTACATCCGAACGCATACACGGCTGTATGCTAGGACTGCAGTATACCGTGTACAGCCATTGACTTCTATAGGAGGCTCTGTGGCTTCCCGGGGTGGGGAAATACTCCCGATTTTACGTCTATGGCTCCTACGTGTCCGTGTGCATTTCCATATTTGCTCTGTGAATAAAGTACATTTGTTGCTTTAAAGAAGAATTCCAGGAAATTAAATGATTAACCCTTGTGACAGGGATACCCGCACACTGCAAAGGGTTAAGTGCTCATTGGGGGTCTAGGGCAGGGGTGGGCAAATGCTGGTTTTCCAGCTGTTATTGAACTGCAAATCCCATGAGGCATTGCAAAGCTCTGACAGCCACAAGCATGACTCTCAGCGACAGATGCATGATGGGATTTTTAGGCTCACCACAGCTGGAGGGCCAAGGTCTGCCCACCTCTGGTCTTGGGTCTAAAATAAAGAAAATATGCTCACCTGATCCTCGATCCTGCGGAGCTGACCCTCGGTCCCGCGGAGGTGAGCGCTCGCTGACCCTCGGTCCCGCGGAGGTGAGCGCTCGCTGACCCTCGGTCCCGCGGAGGTGAGCGCTCGCTGACCCTCGGTCCCGCAGAGGTGAGCGCTCGGGGATCCTCGGTCCTACAGGGGTGAGCGTTCATCTCTCTTTCCCTCGGCGTTCTCACGTTTTAATGCAGCTGCATAAGACGTGATGACCTGTCCTTAGCCCGCCAGAGCCCGGGGGGGAAAAGAGGCTGCAGGGACCGACCTAGCAGCCAGGCGGGATCAGGTGAGTATAACTTGGATATTGTAGCCCCTAGAAAAAATGAGCAGTTAACCCTTGCAGTGTTGGGGTAGCCCCACTGTAAGAGTTAATTTGTACATATCCTAGAGTACTTTGGAGAGTTTCAGATCGGCCAAAAACACACGCTTTGCAATGCAGTAATACATATGCATCAAACTTTCCCATAATATGTTCCCATTGGCGCAGTACATTTACAAAAACACATTCTGCGTATTAATGCGTTGAGTGGCCATTGGAAGACAGTGATGGTGCATCAAAACGTATCTAACACGTGTTTTGATGCGTTGGCAATGGGCATTAAAATGCTTCAGTCAGAGGCTGTTAGCCCTCTACACTTCAAATTGTAAATCCAAAAATGCTTTGAAAGTTTGCATTCAAAACTCATGTCATTGCACAAGGCAAACGCACGTTGCCGCACATCAACACACCTGCCTAATGCTAAAAAAAAAAAAAAACACACCTCTAAGCATACAAC